TGACACTACATACTGGACATGACCAACTAGAAACGTCTTGGAAGAGCGCCTCTCACGGAGCTGCAGTCCGTGGATTGCCCGACGTAGATTGCGCCACGTAGCTTATGCCGAGCAGTTTACACATCCACTGCAGTAACCTATTGCACTTTTCTATCCTTCCTCCACATTTTGCCCCTCCTCCTCCTCCTCCTCCTCCTCCTCCTCCTCTCCTCCTCCTTATCCTCCTCATGTTCCTACTCCTCCTCTTCCTCCTCCCTTCTCGCCTTTCTCCTGCCCCTCCACTCCTCCTGATGCTCCTCCTCCTCCTCTTCCTCCTCCTCCTCCTCCGCCTCCTCCTCCGCTTCTCCTCCTCCTCCTCCTCCGCCTCCTCCGCCTCCTCCGCCTCCCCCGCCTCCTCTCCCCCTCCTCCCGCTCCCCCTCGCTCTCCTCCGACGAGGCTCGGAGTCCGAGAGGGCCGCGGAGGGCGACGCCGCCGCGAAGGCTGCCGGCACGCGGGCGGTCGTCGAGCAGATGCGGGCAAAGGCGAGGGCGAGCGCTGGCAGGACTCTGGTGAGATCTGCAGAGGAGCCCGAGGTGGTACCTGGCGGGGATGAGTCGGATGATGACTTCGAGGTGTGCAACGGGTGGGCCGTCCGCAAGTCGGACAAGACCCAGGCGGTCGGCATGGTGCCCTCGAGCAAGGGGATGGCCATCTTCACGTGGGACGATGGCGACCGCTGGCTGAGCCCGCTGGAGGTGACCGCAGTGGGGCCCCGCAAGCGCCCGGCGGCGGCGGAGGGCGCCAAGGAGGCCGCGAAGCCCGCCAAGGTCGCCAAGGGCAAGAGCAAGGGCAAGGGCAAGAGCAAGAGCAACGCCGAGAACGACGACAAGGCAGCAAGTGGCGACTCGGGCAAGGGCAAGGGCAAGAGGCAGAGCAACGCCGAGAACGACGACAAGGCAGCAAGTGGCGACTCGGGCAAGGGCAAGAGCGACGCCGAGAACGACGACAAGGCAGCAAGTGGCGACCAAGGGAAGGGCGGCTCGGGCAAGAGCAAGAGCAAGAGCAAGGGCAAGGGCAAGGGCAAGGGCAAGGTCTCATGCAAGGGCGAGGACGGCTCGGGCAAGGGCGAGGGCGGCTCGGGCAAGGGCGACAAGAGCAGCGACAAGAGCAGCAACGACGTGCTCAAGGCGATGATCGCGGACGCGAGGACGCAGTGCAAGCGGGCTGGGGAGTACAAGGCTCCCTCGTCCACGCCTCCTCATTCCTATGCTTATCCAGCTCTTCCTCATCCACCTTATCCTCCTCCTCCCCCTCATCATCATCATCATCATCACCATCATCATCCTCATCGTCCTCACTCTCTTCACCCTCCTCCTCCTCCTGCTTCTTCTCCTCATCATCATCTCCATGTCTTTCCATCTCCTCCCTCTGCTCCTCTACTGGCTGCTCCTCCTCCAACTGCTCTTGCACCTCCCGTTGCTGCTCCACGTCCTCATCCTGGACCTCCCTGCTCCGCTGTCTTCTCCCTCCTCCCCGTTGCTGCCGCTGCCCTCCCCCATCTGCCTCTCCTGCATCCTCACCCCCCTCACCTCCGCCCCTGCCTTCCGCCCCCCCTCACCCTCATTCACCTACGTAACTCACCCTCCCCCCCATTATCTCCCTCCCTCCACCTTCCTCGTCCTCTTCCTCCGGCTGCAAATCTTCCCCCCTCTTCCTCCTCATCCTATCCCTCCTCTTGCCCCGCCTGCCCCTCCCCCCCCCGTGCCTCCCCCCGTTCTTCCTCCTCCTCCTCCTCCTCCTCCTCCTCCTCCTCCTCCTCCTGCTCCTCCTCCTCCCCCCCCCTCCTCCCCGCGCCTCCCAGGTCGGCATCAGCGCGCGCCCGAAGTTCGCCGACGACGGCATCGGCTGGGAGGCGTGGGTGTTCAAGAGTGGCTCAGACAGTGGACAGAAGTGCTCGATGACGAGCAAAGCTGGAGCGACTCTCGACGCTGTCGCCGCGAAGGCCAATGACGTGATGGAGAAGATCTCGGCCGCCAAGAAGGACGCGGCCGAGGCCAAGGAGAGCGAGGCGGCCGAGGCCAAGGAGGGCGAGACGGCCGAGGCCAAGGAGGGCGCGGCCGAGGCCAAGGAGGGCGCGGCCGAGGCCAAGGAGGGCGTGGCCGAGGCCGACGAGGGCGCGGCCGAGGCCGACGAGGGCGCACTCGAGATCGTGACGTAGCAATGTGCTACGACATCTGAGTTTCGGTGCTCCGGCGCCCCCGCCAAGCTCTTAGAGGGCCGCCCCCCGGGGCGCACATCGGCGCCTGTCCTGTCCTGTCCTCCTCAGAAAGCCACATGGTGCAGCGCTCCCCGGGTGCGGACCGAAACCATCCGTGCGGCTAGGCTCCATCAACAGATGGTTCGGGGGTTGGGGGGAGCAAGCGCGGCGGCGGCGCCTCGACGCACAGACGCACATGCCGCCTCTGCCGAGGAAGCCTTCCGAGATGCTGCGTGTTTCTTGCTCGCCCTCCTCGGAAGCCCAAATGGCGCAGCGCTCCCAGGGTGCGGACCGAAGCCACCCGTGCGGACAGGCCCCGTCAACCGATTGCTCGGGGGCGGGGCGGGGGAAAGGGCAACGGCGGCGCCTCGAGCGTGGAGTCTTCGGCCCCGCGGGCAGCACTCGCGGACGGCAGGCATCGATCGGCACCTCTCGCCCCGAGCTCTCTTGCCGGCGCCGCCGCGGCGCGCGCCCGCTTACCCCAAATCCCGTTTGAATCGTCCCACGGGTCCAGTTTTTTCAAGGCGCTTTTTTGTCACTGGGGGGGGTCCAGCTTATGAGGGCCCGTTCTGTGGTTGGAGCTTGGGGGGTCCGGTTTATCAAGGCGCCCCGCCGACGAGGGGGTCCGGAATATTAGGTCGCCTTTGGAGAGGGGTCCGGTTTTTTTTGGGGGGGTGATCAATGCGGGATTTGGACCAAGCCCCCGCCTGCCCAGTTCCCCCGAGACGGCCGCCGACTTCCCGAGGCATCCGACTGCACGAGCGCGAACCGTCGGGGGTACGCGCGGATCTCTTGGATCGGCGCTGGGCCCTCCCGCCGCCGCCTCCGGCGCCGCCCCTGACGCGCTCCTCGCGCCAGGGAGGGTGGCCCGGCGCCGATCCACCGAAACCGCGCGGACCTCCGAAAGTTTATATATTTGTGGCGACCTCCGCTCCTTTCATACATTTTGATCTATTGTTATTGTATATAACATATATGTTTATAAAGCTTACAAGTCTAACCTCCGAAAGTTTATGTTTTCGTAAAGTGTATACAGTCAACCCGCACAGCAAGGATGCGCGACTCTCCAAGGCTGCCCTTGCGTCCTGCACCTTCGGACCATCCCTGGCCGCTCCCGCTGGCCGCGCCCCGCTCGAAAGGTGTCGGCATGGCCTTCAAGGCCCTTGCACCCTTACCGCGCGTCCTTACAGTCGGGCCGCTGATCAAGGGCCCTCTTCGTTGGGGAGGGGCTCGGTGTTTCTTCCTTGTTTCACGTGCTGTCTCAGGTTGTCCTGAGGCTTTCCAATGGGAGCTCGAAGGTAAATGATTGGAAGTGCGGGGCCCCGTGCCTTAGCCAGGGTTCCTTATGACAGCGTTTCGACTGTATTATACGGGTGGACTGTATCATGATTCTAGACGCGCTAACGGCAATGTCGGTAACGACGATGTAGGTTTCGGCATTGTAGGACATGGTGATTCGCGCTGTCCTACAATTCGCTGCGTCGTTTTCGCCCGATACATTCGCACATTCGAAGTGCAGGAAGGTGTGGCTCGTGATTTCCTACCGTTTGCTCCGCGCGAGCTCGGTCTCACAAAAATCACGTCCCCGACGCCGCCGTTAACCATCATCGCCGTTAGCGCGGCCTTGGCATGAGGGTGGCGCTGACTCGATTGGCCAACAGGGGCTGCGCGAGAGCTGCCGCGCCCACTGCTCTCACCGCCGCGCTCCGCGGGGGCGGCGCCTCTGGCCTGCGCAGGAGGCGCGGGAACGCGTGCAGACGCTGCACATCGCCTTCGGGGTCGTCTCGCAGCCGCGCTTCCCTCCCACGCCGTCGAAGGAACTCGACGCACATATGCACCACGTTGCTTGGTCGGCTTCGGAGCCAAGGAGCTCACCGAAGAAATCCGATGTAGAGACGCTCCAGCGTCCCAGAGGTGGGGGAGCCGGGGCGTCGTACATGCAGGCAAGACGACTTGGTGTGTACAGGGGGGCATCAGCGGCTTGTATCAGAGGGACATGGAGCCATGCGAATTAATGATCGTGACGCTTCTTCTCCAGGCCGCACAGATCGGGTCGAAGTAGATGGTGTCGGTGGATCGCGCCGCGTCGCCAATGCATCGGCGTGGAGCCCGATATCCTCCACCCCGCAGTCGCCCATGCATCGGCGATGCAGCGCGATCCGTCGACCCGATCTACTCGGACCCCTTGTGGGCGGCCTTCACCTGGGTGAGGGGCACCAGTGGTTCTGATCAGACGAGCAAGAATTCATATCAAGTGGTGCTAGTGATACTTCCCTGGGTTCCCATGATGTCCCGGCGGATTGGAGACCAGGGCCGCTACATTCATCGAGACTCTTGGGACGCATCATTAGCAAATCGCACTATGGGCCTCTTGGGTGGTGGACGATACGAAACGGTGTCCTTTTGTTGGGGTGACCTTTGGTCCTCTCCCAACGGCGCCCAGAGGGTTGTGTTTGGGGGAGCCTCACACCCAAACAGCAGCGCACCTCATGTCACCTTTGCCACAGGTCACCCTTGCGTAAGCGGGGCCTGAAGGACAGTCGAGACATGGCTGTGGGATCTAATCAGAGGTCGTCAGGACCCAGTTTCCCCTACTTGCCGCAGTGAGAAGCGGATGCTTGTTGCTATGCTTCGCAGCTGGGCAGCTGCTTCTACCATCCATGCAATCGGGCCATAAGTTTGCACACGCCTGGCCCTCGAGCAAACCAGTACACACCTCTTCTGAATGGTGCGGAGTGTTAATTTAGCACGCGTGTGCACACGGGGACCGTGTTCTCTTTGCTCCTCTTTCGAACAGGCCAGCAGCCAGCTGTTGTAGAGTCATGGTTCCCAAGAAGGCTTGCGGAGTGAGTTGCTCAGCTCGTCACGAGCCGAAGTCTTTAGTTACGTTTGCTTCGCACAGGGTGGTAGATCCAGTGTGTACCCTGTCAGTATGTTTTCCGGGCTGGGTTGAGAGCAGACACAGCCACAAGTGTGGATCGCATCGGTGCCTTTCGATTCCGACTACGCGTGTCTCATGACCCCATATTTCCGTCAACGACAGCAACGTGTCCTCGCACTTGAGCGGGGGTTATGGGGACATAAGTTGCGACACGACGGCCTTGGTATCCGAGTATGTTGCGTGTAGTTTCTGCGGTTTGCCTGCCGTGATCTTCATCATCGCACAAGCTGTTGCAGCAGGTCATGGAGTTCGAGCTGCGCGACGCATTCGAGAGCTTCTCTAAGCCACCGTCAGCACACGAGCAGGCGCGCATTGTTTCGCTCCGTGTCATGTCAATTGTGATAGAGGGCACGAGACAGCAGAGCTGACCCACGTCGTTCCCTTCTGGACTTCTGCTCAGAGTCGCAATCGTCTTGCCTCTTCGCCGTCCCTCTCCATGCAGCATCGGTCTGGCACTCCCTCCGACCGCTGCTCGACTCGGAGTCGACGTGCGACTGACCAATTGGCCCCTGAGAGCGTGACGTGAGTTCCGGGGGGCGTGGCGGCTGACACCCACACACACACACACACCCGCACACACACACACACACACACACACATACACACACACACACACGCGCACACACACATACACACGCACACACACACACACACACACACACACCTATTCTCTTGCGAGTGGCCCATGACCTCACGGGGGCGATCGTTTGGTTCGCGCAGATGGCGCGGCGAATCTGAGGAGGAGAAATTCTAGGGTTCTAGGCGCACCAGGTCAGAAACTCGCCTGACAGTGGGTGCACCACGACAGTTTCTGATCTCCTGGTGGCTCCGCAGAGCCTGGGGGCATTTTGCGAAGCTCAGAGTCGACGAAGGATCTGCCCCGAGATTTCTTTTCATCCTTGATCACCGCTGCCGACGACGACGACGACGACGACCGAGGACGGATGATCGTCGTTGACAGTGACGTGAGGACCGGCGACGGTGACGGCGATGACGACGACGGTGCGACGGCTGCCCCTCCGCGCGCGCGGGCGGCCCGAGGAGTGGGGCGCCCCCGTCGGAGACGGCCGCATCAGGCGGGAGATCATCCAGGCGATCTCCGCATCGCGGGGGGGGGATCGAGGAGCGAGGATTGCCGTACGTTGTGCTAGCAACAAGTTCTCGCCCTCCTCCTCCGCCTCCTCCTCCTCCTCCTCCTCCTCCTCCTCCTCCTCCTCCTCCTCCTCCTCCTCCTCCTCCTCCTCCTCCTCTCCTCCTCCTCCTCCTCCTCCTCCTCCTCCTCCTCCTCCTCCTCCTCCTCCTCCTCCTCCTCCCCCTCTGGCCTCACAAGAAGTCCAACGTCGTGTTTTTCTGTTTTCAGCCTAGAACCCCTGGTGGTCTGGCCCCATTCCCAGCGACAGGCTTCTCATCGCCAGCGGTTATTGACTGTCCCCGGGCCCAGCGAGGGCCCCAAGACGCTGAAGCGTGCCAAAAAGCTTCCGCCGTGGATTGTGTAACGTCGCGAGGAGATCTGGAAGCGCGTGCTGCCCTTCTCCCCCGCCAGGGGCAATGTCAGGGGGGGCAGGGGGGGACGCATCGACCCCCAGTCGCTTATTGATCGCCGATGGTGGCCCGATGGCCCGCCCCGTCCAGGAACGTGCGGATTCGCCATCGGGGGCCCTTCGCCGATGCACTGGCGATGTATCGCCGATTCCAGGTCGACGTTCCCCCCCTACGGTCGGACCGAGGTATGAGATCGAGGTCGGCTCGGAGAGGGTACCCTAATGTTCTTCGTGTTTGTCGGGTGTTCTTGTGCAGCCTGGGGGGGTACCCTTGGACGCTCTGTGTCTTTTGGCCGCTGCATGGTGGCACCATTCGCCATAACGACACCCCCGCTTAGGCCTTTCCACTAGAGCGAAGACTTCCCCTGCCTCGCCGCCGACGGAAAAAACATTGTGTGTTTTGGCCAGCGGAGGGCTTCATGTGAGAACACATGCTTCTTGAAGGATGTATGTTCAAGAACATCCTTCAGGGACATCCTTCAAGAACATACGTTCTTGAAGGATATATGTTCGAGAACATCCTTCAATAACCCATGTTCTTGAAGGATGAGCCTATGACCTCGGTTCGACCGTGCTGACCTGTCAGGCGACCTCTCGGGGAGGCGGCCCGGGCGCCGGGAAGCGCCGGCTGGGGCGCTCCAGACAGGGCCTCGGCCTCGAGGGTCTTCTTTTAAAACAGATCTTTTTAACAAAAAACGAACATGGGGACGATTGTTCCACTATTTCTGACATTGGTGGGGAAAATGTTTGACTATCTTTTATTTGTCGTCAAAAAGCCGCCTGTAGGGGGGCACGCCCATCCTAAAAGTAGCGTTAGCCTTGGAGTTGTAGATGGAGGGCTCGCCCCCCGTCCATTCTCAGGGGGGGATGGAAACCAGACCCCCTCGAGTCATGACAGCAATAACAAAAACACGACGGGAGTTTTTGCCGGTAGTCTCGGCCTCCGGGGGCCCTTACCTTAAGTCGGGCTTGTCTCTCTACTGGAGGAAAATTCAAAAATAGTCAAAACTAGCCTGGGGAAGGATTTTTAAATATGTTTTGACCATTTGGGGGCATTTTTTTAGTCCGAAATCCGCCTGTAGGAACACAGGCCCGACTTATCCCTTACTGGGCCTCGGGGCTGTCAAGAAACGATTCAGGACGAAAAACCGGCCCAGAGAACGGGTCGAGACTTCGGGGGGTCGACGCAATGAAGAAATCATGACGTCGGGGGTCTGGGAACAGCGCTCCCTGCGGCGAAAGATTCATTGCTCGCCCTTCCTCGGCTGCGGCGGCTGCGGCGGCTATACAGAGCTGCGGCGTGTCTGCTTCTGCTGCCTGCTGTGATTTGCGTGGTGTCAAGAGGCGTGGCTCTGGCCATCTTGGGCCGCTCAAGCCCAGACATCCTGCTGCTCCAATTTTTTCGATGGTTGGGCCCCGGAGGTCCGGACCACTTTCTCAGGGCCGGTGTTTCGTCCTGGGTCGTTTTTGACAGCCCCGAGGCCTGGCGAAGGCCTCCAATGGCCGAAAACGGCCGGAAACCGCCCGCTCCAATTTTGTGGGAGCGTCGGACCATTGGGTTCATTATTGAAATTAAACGCTTTTGAGGGGGCAGACACTGCCGCCCCACTTTTTGTTGGAGCCCAGGCGTGTCCAGTTCGGCCCCAGAGGGCCCCAGACGACGCGGAGAAGAGCCCAAGAAGATCCCCAGGGGCCTCAGGAGGGCCCGCAAACGGGCGAAAAGGGCACCCAGGGGTGTCGAAAACGGCGGAGCAAACCGAAGAGGGATACAGAGAGGCAGAAAGGAGCATCGCCAGTTAGTTTTGGGCCTCCGAAGGGCTTCCAGGGACACCGTGGGCGCGCCCAAGACCACTCACAACAACACCAAAAAGAAGTCCAGACGGGCGTGGAGGGCCCCGAGAGTCTGTCAGGGCGGCCGCAGAGAGCATCCGCAGGTTCCAAGATGGCCGCAAGAGCCCGCGGAGATACACGGGAGCTCCAAGAGAGGCGCCAGGAACAGCGCGGTAAGGACAGAATCGTCAGAATCTTATGTGTTTTCTAGTATTTGTTTTCTTGGTGGGGGTTTCTGGTGTATGAGACTCGAAGAGAGGCGGAGATGCATCCGGGACGGCCTGAAAGGCGGTCAAGATCAGCCCAGAAACAGCTCCGAGAGGCTCCCCAAACCGGCCCAGTGAATAGGCTAGCGGAGGGGTGTCTGAGAGGGCTGGTGGCGCTTGGAAGCCGGGCACGTGAAAGGGGGGTCGTTTTTGGACGGAAGTGGTGGTCAGAAGGCGCTCAGGCCGCAGCCCGGGCCCCTGGGCCGGCGGAACGAGCAGGCCGCGGGGGGGACCCCAGGAGGGCTTGCCAGGGCTCTGAGGAAGGGCGTGTGTACGAGGAGTGCGTGGATATGCGGCTGGGATCTCGCACGCCGTACCTGGTGGGGCGGCGGAACTTCGCTCATTCCGGCCGCCCAGATTGTGCCATCGCAGGCGTTTACCTGCGCGTTCGCGGCCTCTTGGGGCCTCATGGGGGCCGTTTGGTAGCCTCGTGGGACATCTTTTTGGGCCTCTTGGGGGCCTCGTGGGGCCTCCAGGGAGCTCTCTTGGGCTCTCTTGGGGTGCTCTTGGGGCGTCCTAGGGGCCTCAAGGGGCGGAAGGCTCGAATTGGTGGCTCGTGTTCCACTCTTGGACCCCTCTTGGGGCCATCTTGGGGCCCTCTGGAGCGATCTTGGGCTCCTCTGGGGCAGCTTTGGGGCCCTTTTGGACCGTCTTAGGGCCCTCTTGGGGGCCTCTCGGGCCGTCTTGGGGCGGTCTTGGGGGCCTCTGGGGCCGTCTTGGAGCGTCAGAAGCCCGAAGACGCAAGAACGCGAGAAACATAGACAAACCTCAGAAACTCAATGACTTTTGCTTCTTTTGGCCCTCTTTGGGGCCCTCTTGGAGCGCTCTAGGCTTTATACTAAGGGCTTCTTCGGGGCCTCTAAGGCCGTCTTGGGACCATCTTGGGCGTCTTGGAGCGCTCTTGGGCCGTGATTCCCATTCGTGGGCCCTATTGGAGCTGCCTTGAGGCTCCTTCGGCCGCTCCTGGGGCGAACTGGAGGAACCCCAAAAGCGCCCCCGGGAGTTCCGGCATCCTTGAGCGGACCTTGCCAGGACCTCGCCGGGAGTCGGCCTGGGTACTCCTCGTCTGGGGACCCCCAGGGGCCGCCCCGCGCGCGCGGACTGAATATACTTACACATTGTTCATTTCTAATTCTTCGAAGGTCTTCAATTTTTTGGGGGGGCGAGATCCTTTCATTTCTAATTGTTCTGTCCTGGGCCTCTTCCTGGCCACTAGGGGGCCAGGAACAATTAGAAGCGAGCGCGATTAGAAATGAACGACGTGTACGAATACTCTGTGAACCAGTTGCTGGAGTAGCACGCCTCTGGCCCGTGGGGCCGGCGAATGCTTGGCCCCAGCGGTTTCGTACCGGGCGGCTCCGCCAGCGTGCATGGTTCCCCCCGGGGCCGTAGGCGACCCGAGGAGGAGGAGGAGGAGGAGGAGGAGAAGGAGGAGGAGGACGAGGAGGAGGAGGAGGTTGAGGTGGGGGAGGGGGAGGAGGAGCAGGAGGAGGAGGAGGAGGAGGAGGAGGAGGTGGAGGATGAGGAGGAGGAGCAGGAGGAGGAGCAGGAGGAGCAGGAGGAGGAGGAGGAGGAGGAGGAGGAGGGGGATGAATGAGGAGGAGGAGGAGGAGGTGGAGGAGGAGGAGGACGAAGAGGACGGGTCGCCCAAGCACTTCGGGGAAGCCCCCCCATGCCAGCGGACGACGACGGCGGTGAGTGGCGCCCAGGCCTACGCGAGCGAGGCCGCGGCCCTGGGGGGCCGGTCCTGGCTCGTCGTCAACGCCGCGGCCACGGACCCGGGGGACGGCGAGCTGCAGGCTCCTCGCCTTCTTCCTGCCCAGGGCGTGGCATCGCTGGGACGTGTGCGTATTTTCTCGGCGAGGGTCCTCGAGGAGCATCCCGGATCATCTGGCAAGAAAAAGCACGCAGGAGATAAACGTCCGAGCGATGGCAGAAGGGGGGCCCGTCCCCAGAGATCCGACGCTCCCAAAAGATTGGGGCGGGCGGTGTTTGGCCGTCTTCGGCCTCCAGGGGCCCTTGCCGGGCCTCGGGGCCTTGAAAAGAGCGACCCAGGACGAGACACCGGCCCTGAGAAAGTGGTCTGGACCTAGATGTCTGGGGTGGCAGCGATAGGGGGATGCGCATGGAGTGGGATGCATGGACCTCGAATGGTTGATACATCGTCGATGCATCGACGATACATCGTTGATATCGGGGTGATGTTTCGACGATGGATAGGCGATGCATGAGTGCATGGGGCGGTCTGCATCGACGACACATCGACGATGCATGGGCGATGTATCGGCCATTCGAGGTCGATGCATCCTCCCTATGTCTACCCCCCCCCGTACCGCGTATCGTTGCCCCCAGGTCGTGTCGGATATAGCCAGGACCCCGGTTGACGGGAGCCGGTCAGTGATGGGGGCCCGAAGTCCCGAAATTGGCCGGAGTCATTCGGCCAAGATCGCCGTAGTTGGTGTTTCTTCGGGTGACGGCAGCTCCTGTGAGTTGAGTGAGGCGGGGTGGCGGCGTCCCCCGGTACACATCGCTTCAACCAGGTCCCACTGAACCCAGCCCCGCCAACGCCCGTCGTGGGCGGAAGCCATATCCGTATCCGCGGCCTCGCGGGCCCAGCCCCTGGGCCGCGACCCCGCCCGCGGGTTCGGGGCGTTTCTTCGCGGATGCCCCACGGGGAACTTGTCCGTGCGACCGCGCACCCGCGGGATCGCGCCACGGAATTCAGACCGCGAGGGCGCGGATACGCACACGTTCGCCGCTCGTCATAGTCTCCTCTCCCAGCCGTTGCACAGTTGCGCTGGGGTGGAACATTGGAGCAGCATCGGTGTCGCCGTCGAGCTTCTCCTGTCATGCGTTTCTGGCCTTGTGCAGGTTGGCCGCGAGGTGACATTGCTACGGCCTGACGGCCAGTGCCGCCGACCCTGGAGGCTTGCGCGCTCCCGGGAGGGTGGTATTCTGACCCGGGACCTCCTCTGGGGACCCCCTCCCCCGGGACCCCCCGCCCCCCCCCCCCCCGGACCTCACCCTTTCGCGGGGAAGGGGATCAAAGGGACGGGGCTTCCCTGTGGCTTCCCGTCGACTCCATGACGACGTTGCTTAATTTCGCTGTGGACGGGCTGGTGTGTTTCGCTTTGGCTGGCGTGCTTGAGGACGAGAGCCCAAGGAAAGCGGGGGAGCGGCGACGGGCTCAGGGGAAGGAGGGGACGTGATGGCGGCGGCGACGCGACGGCAGCAGCGACGGCGGTGGCGACGGAACAGCCCCTATCACACGCTGACAGGGTCGGCGGAGTTCATTGGCTCGCGACGCCGACGTCGCAGCCATGTGCCTGGCATATCTGATTCACACTCGTAGCAGTCAGGTCACTTTTCCTGTTTCCCAAGTACCAGCATGGCCAGCTGTGCCAGTGCACCGCGGCAGCACTTGTCGATGTGAGTGCTCAGCTCTCTCAAGGTCTCCCAGATGGGATCGAAGTGGATGTCAGCATCCAATCCGCCCCCCTTTTCCTCTACTTCTCCCCAGGTGTCCAACGATGTGATGTTCTCAGTCCCGGCGGTTTTCCTCGGTTTCGGCCCCCTGGGCCCGCGATTGGGCTGCGGGGCCATCAGCAACAGATCTGGGGCGCAAGACTACGGTCGGGGCGTTGGTTAAGGAATGTGCCCCAGAGGCTTCAGACCCTAGAGGGTTCCTTATCTGATGAGGGCGGCGGTGATATCCATGGCCAAGCCTCAATTGGCTTTCCACATTGGACGCCCGAAATGGGTACGGAAAGAACTGGTTCAATGCCCAACAGCAGTTCTTGTTCATTCTGAACAGGACTCGCTGTCGGTGTCGCCGCGGCCTGTGTCCATCTGAGACAGCAGGCCGCCTGCCCAACAGCGGCCGTGGTTGGTTCGGGACAACATTTGCTGTTGGGCATCGTGCCCATTCTTCCCGCACTCCAGATTTTGTAATAAAGGGAGGGGGGTCTCATTTCGGGGGGGGGTCTCTTCCAGGCTATCTTGGAGGGCCTGGGCGGGTCTGGGGACGATGTTTTGGCGGGTTCTCCCACGGGGGGGGGGGGTCTGAAATGGCTTGTCTTGGGGGGTCCAGACCCTCTCCCTTTTATTACGGAATCTGGAGTACCCATTTCGGGCGCCCAAATCCACCAGTTTCCAGACCCAGGATTCCTCATCCAAGGCCCGCTTCGTGGCGGCCGACCCGCGGCCAGGCGGTGCGGGAGCCGGCGAGCGCGCGAGGGGCCTCCCGCGAAAAGCGGGCTCGAGCGGCCGCGTTCCGCGTGCGACCCTGTGAAGCGGCGACTGGTGCGCCTCGGTACGGTGGCGGCCACCGCGGCGGCCGAGCGTGCGCAGCTGTGTTGCATTGGCGCGCTGAGCCAAGAAGTCCCGCCCGCCTGTACGAGGCGGCTCCCAGCTTTGATGTTCACCGCAGCGTTGTTGTTTTTGCTATGGTGTGCCTCCCGGATAGATAGTCCTCTGGAAGGGCAGCGGATCCCTCCCTCTCCCCCTCCGTGTCGAACAACCCCCCCCCCCCAAAAAAAAAAAAGCTGTGCCCTCGAAGAGGACACTCTCGATTCCTCGAGCTGCTTTTTTGCTGATAGAGACTGACCGCAAGCGAACCAGCCTTCGTTTGAAAAACAGCTAGCCAGCGCAGGGGACGCATTCGACCCGACCCCACGCACCTTGGGATGGGTCGCCGTCGTCCTCCTCTACGCTGGCAATGGGACAGCCAGAGAGGCCGTCCCACAAGGCCAGATCGGCCTGGAAAGCGGGCGGCGGAGAGCACTCCTGCCCCGTCCACCCCACCCCCACCCCCCCACTCCCAGTCCCGACCGGAGGAGAAAGAGCAGGCAGAGGCGGCAGTTCGGCCGACTCCAGCAGCCTTCGCTTCCGCAGCAAAATCGGAGGGCCCACAAAATCGCGGGCCCGTAAAGGATGGCAGCCTCGCATGAGGTTGCGCAGCCTGTAGTATCTCGAGTCTCTCACCAGGACACCCTGCCTACGATTCATCGGTAAGCAATCCTGCGAAAGACCCTGGCTCTTCTTTTCCGAAAATGCCCCGCACAGAGAGCAGAACAGGAAAGGCCCCGCGCGGTGAAGTGCGTGGGAGCTGGACCTGTCGTCACATCGAAGCTGGCGAAGCACCGAGCGTGTCCTCGCTGACCGAAGGCACACCATGCATCGGAACCTGTGCGCAACCACCGTCACTGCAGGGTCGAAACGCGAGTGCGGCTTCGGGGGACCAAGTCCCCCCTCAATCGTGCCTATGGCACGGCCGAGTATTTGCGCTTGGGCGTCACGTGGCGTGATGGTGCCGATCCGAGCGACCAGCCTGGTACAGAACTGGGCTACAAGGCGGATGGCGCTGCGCGACGCGCCATGCGCAGATCGCAGCTGGAGGGAATCACTATGCATGGCGGCACCCCATTTAGCCGACTGATCAGCCTGGGCATTGCCGACACGCTGCCATTCTGAAATCCGTCCCTCTGCTACGGCAGAGGCAGGAGTATGCGCTTTGACGTGAGAAACCTCCACCGACTCACCCCCACGGTCAGACACAAGCCTCCAAACCTCCCTCCAAAGTAAGGCAAGCGGGTCACTCGCAGCGGTGCCCGCTCCAACGCCTTGGCGCCAGACATCCACGAGCGGCTTGCAATCCGTATAAAACTTCATCTGAGCTCCCATATACCTCAGCGCCATCAAGAAACTGAAAAGCTCAGCCGCTGGCACAGATTGAATGAGACAGGGCAGAGGGCCATGCAGGCGAGCAACCACTCGCTTGCTGTCGTCAAGCGAACAGAGTCCCCATCCGCAGCGCCGTAAGCGAGAGAAACTTCCGTGCCTCCCCGACCCATCACCGAACACGTGCACGTCGAGCAGCAAGTCGGGAGACCGCACCGTCCACACGACTCGCTCCTCGAGGCAGGGGCTCGGGAAGAGCCAAGCAGGGTCAGGGACAAGAAAGCGCGTGAAAAGCAAGGTATCCACCGCAGCAGCTCGAGCCATGTCTAGCATTTGACCAGCCATGGCACTGCCAGCTCTGTAATCCCGACGGAACTCGGTATGCAGGGGGCAATCGTAGAATCGGTGCCAGGTAGATCCAGCACTCTGACAGGCAAGGCAGCTCGGGTTGACGGCTCCACCTGACTCGTACAGTCGCTCCTGCGACCAGAAACCTCCTGCAAACAGGCACCGCAGCAGTCCCTGATGCCTTGGGGTCCAGTCAGGGCCTCGGACAGAATGAGGCTGGAGGAGGGACCTCAGGGGCTCCACGAGAGGAGGATGAGGGCAGGGCGAGACCCACGAGGGATGCTTCGCGAGAACCTGGCGCCACACCCACCGCTCGGTGGCCTCATCAACTAACCTACCTCCATCCTTCGGGGAAATCTGTTCAATTGCAAGAGGACCTCGGTGGGTCTTCCAATGAAAAGGGTCAGATACAGACCAACCCAACCGCAAAATTGTCGCAACTAGCGCAGAAGCAGGTCCGCGAATGTCAGACCAAACTTGAGACACAGGAACTCTAGACAGGCGTGTCCATGCTCCACTCAGAAGTCGCGCCATATCTGCTCTGGGGGCCCATCCGTCCCACAGCGCCTGCAGCCAGAGGAAGATCGGGCTCCTGTTGCACTCGAAGGCGGGGTCGACCTGCGGCCCAGCCAGCATGAGGTCCAATGAGAGCGACCTGCCCGTGTGCCTGTAGACCATGCCCGCGCGCGCCAGTTGCCTGGCGCTCAGTAGGTGCGTGTTGCTGATGCCGTGAACTCCCACTGCCCAGAGCATCCCAGGCTTGAGGCCAGTC